ACTCTCTCTCTCTCTCTCTCTCTTCCTCTCTCTCTCTTTCCTTTATAATGAAAGCATATGCATATGAATATTTATTAGCATGCAAAATTAGCTCGCAGAATGCATTGGTATTATTCAGGAAATAGTCAATGAAACTTCACATTCGTGAAGTTTCATGAAGAAAGATGCAGACATAATGTTGTCTGAAATCTGATAATCCTAACAAGAATTGTGTAATAAAAGTATCAGATGGATATTTGAGCATCATTCAAGTCCTCTCTAAACAATAAGTTACTTTCAGGATTAACCGAAATCAAAATCTAACTTATTCAGTGTTTTATCTCATTCTTTTGGATGAAAAATACAACATGACTCATTCCTGAAACAATTTTGTAAGGTATAAATAGTTCGTGTATGGTTTGAAGTAGTATGATCGAGGAGTATCCTATTTAAAAAAAAAGAAAGAAAAAGACTTGAAAAGGAAAAATATTGCATAAGAACAGCTCAAACAGTCATCGATCATATCATTAATGTTGGGATGAAAAGATTGCATATGGGGTCTATCTGTTCAGATCGAATCGTTTAAGCCACGCATACTTTAAAAGTCTTTAAAAGCCGTAGGTGTTTATTTGTTGGTTTTGCGACTTTGGGTGACGGTTGTAGTGCGTATATTCTGCGTTTTAATGTTTGGTTCTCACGTTAGGACAGGTGTAAATCGAAGTTTGCATGTATATGTGAAGTCACCGGTTCAATTGATACTTTCAGGTATGATGTGGACTGTTAACTTGCTCGTTTCGTTATTTCTACCGTATCTTCTGTATGCCAAACGACAACAATCATGTGAAGGTTTGGTACCATTAATGATGATACAAGTATGTAATAAATTAAGGGTTGGTATTGTTGCTTAGAGGTACGCGAGAGGAAATGAAAAATGAAACCATCTTGTATTGAATGCTTAGCAACAGACAATTTAATTCGAAGCAATCATAATCTAGCATATGCTAGCGTGATTTAAGAAGTTGGGGTAATTGGAATTTCAACTCGACTCGACAACTGTGATATTTACTTCTATTAAACACATCTAAGCTTCCCAATTTAGACAGAAATCAGAAAGAGGATGTTTTGTTTTGCAGTGTGCGAGAAAGTTTTACATGATGTGATGGACAGTATGGCGGTGAGTGATCATGGTGATATAAGTAAAATCGACGAGGCACTGAGGGAGCACTGCGGCGGAACAAAAGGAAGAGAGAACAAATTTGTGCGTTTTCCATATTTTAGTTTTAATATAAAACGTTACATTGCATCGATTTATCGAATTTTCTTGCTGAATTTTCTTGCTCGGAAATCTTGATGAGTGAATTTATTTTGTTCTTCTCAAGCTGTTAATGGAATGCTCACTTGCAATGAATTCTTTAAGATATTTATATTAGTTTTAGATAAAAAGTTCCAACAAATTTTGAAACTCGGCCCTTTACCTTAGGTCGTTTCAGTGTTTTTACATTGGTGCTTTACCTGAATCCGCCACTTCTATTATGAATGATGTGGTGAAACCATTATCTTGGTCTATGCCGGTGGAAAAAGTTTGCGAAAAATTACGCACAATGGATTCACAGATTTGCGAACTGAAATTTGGTGCTTCTCATGTATTTTTTTTAGTTAAATGATGATACTAAGACAAGCACTATTTAACATGATGTTTTCCTCTTTGGGTCAAAAAAAAAATTACTAGAAAAGGATTTTGAACCAATTAGTTCTGCTGTACTTGTACAGTTTTTTTTTCCACAGTGGTATTTAATAAGACTTGTGTGATGGCTATAATTATAAGATAAATTACTTCCGGATGTTTTCCAGATAAGAGTATTGATTGGAAAACGGTTGATCTAAAAAAGTTAAGAGTTAAAGAATTGAAGAAAGTTCTTGAGGACTGGGGCGAGGTACGTTCGATTTTTTTTTCTCACTTGCTGTGCTGGTATCATTTTCTTTGAGTGCGATTTGTTTTTCCCAGGAAGTTCTGGAATTCTTTGCTTCCAGTGGATGTACAATATTATGAAGAGCCGTTCACAATGCATAATTTTTTGGAAATTTCAGGAATGTAAGGGGTGCACTGAAAAATCGGAGTACGTAGCTAAGATTGTAGAATTGAAGCCAAAATATGTGAAAAGCGAACTGTGATATTTTTTCTGCATTGGATTTAATTTATTTTTGGATGAAATCTATTGTTGTCTTCATTGTTTTTGTTATTGATTAAATAAAGTAGTTTTAATATTTGTCTTATATTCTTTTGGTTTTCCCACTCTTTTATCTTTCATAAAGAGGTCTTATATAGTCACTCACGTTATACCCTAACATCTTGGCGATATATGAGGATAGTGCGTTGAGATTTAACAGCTTTAACGAATAGGAGCCACAGATTTTTAGATATTGACAATAGTCTATGGGAATTATTATGTGAAATCCATTGATTCAATCTTTGGTCGAGAGTGGTCGTTTTTCTAGAGCTGCGTATTTTGTGCTACTTTCTTTAGTAGGATTAAAGGGTGTTAAGATAGTTGGTCTTATATCTTTTTTCTGTATCCTGTAGAAAAGAGCCGTGTGGGACTGAGAAGACATTCCAACTGAAAAAGTGCTTATCAGATTCTAATACAAAACAGTTTTGTAATTTCAAGGCTTCTGTTTCATTATTGGATAGGATTCAGTATGGCAGGAGCGTTACCGCGACGTATTGCAAAAGAGACGCAGCGGCTGATAGCAGATCCTGTTCCTGGGATTTCAGCTGTGCCGGATGACAACAATGCGCGTTATTTCCATGTGATTATCGCAGGGCCAGAAGGTAGTCCATTTGCTGGTGGAGTATTCAAGTTAGAACTCTTTCTACCTGAAGAGTATCCGATGGCAGCTCCAAAAGTGCGTTTCATGACCAAAATATATCACCCGAATATCGATAAATTGGGGCGAATATGTCTCGATATTCTCAAAGGTTTGTATTTGTATGAAATACATGATGGTTGATGGGTGATTGGAGTATCTCTTTGTGATCATATACAAGGCGGGATTTTTAATCAAATGTGCAAGTTAATTATTCCCATCGCAGCCGCAAGAAAAAGTGCATCAACAGTCAATTGGTATCACATATTGCTGATGATAAATACAAGTAGATAGAGAGACTGCTTGGTTGAACTCCCAAAAAATTTTTTTTTTATGGAGAAAACATGTCGGAATAAAGACAGTTGACGAAGAAAGCAGATGAATCTAGCAGAACTGTATTTGGTGTGTAGTTCAGTTTTACTAGTTTTATATTGTACTAAAAGCGTATTTCTCTTTATAGACCTGTTGAAATTTTTGAATAATCTGACGGATTAACTGTCTAGTGGGTCAAATCAGTGTAGTATCGTTAGCCTTTTCCAGAAATTTCATCCAAATAATCCTATCTCATTATGTTCACGTTCAAAAAGTAAAGGTTGTATCAGAGGGAAGGACAACAACTGTATTGGACAATAACAACCTACTTCGTTTGAAGGAACCTTATTGCTTATGAACAGAATCGAAAATTTTTAGTAGGTTTTTTTCAGACAAGTGGTCTCCGGCACTCCAAATCCGTACAGTGTTATTATCAATTCAAGCCTTACTATCAGCTCCGAATCCAGACGATCCGTTAGCAACAGATGTTGCAGAACAGTGGAAAAGTAACGAAAGTGATGCAATTCGTATAGCGCAGGAATGGACTCGTATCCATGCAAATGGACAGTAATAAATTTACATGTGGCGAAAGTTGAAATCATTTTCATTGGATCATAAAACTTTTGAATCAGTTCCATTTATCAGATAAAATTAAAGTTTTGATACAACATCTAATTGAAAATCCTGGTAGAGTTTACATTGAAATATTTTGAAATATTTGGATTTGTTCGAAACTTGTAAATCTTCAATTTTTATGTCAGAATTTTTTCGGATCTTGCATATTACTTAAAAATAACGTACAAGAATCTTTTTGAAGCCTTATATTTTGTGTAAAATCCTCTTCGAAACCTTTCAAGCTACGCAACAATTCGAGTTATTCGAATTTTCTTGATTTAAGTTCCCATCTATATGGCTTATTTTCAAAAATCTGAGCGAAAGATTAGATCTTTTGTTTCTCTTTATCTTTCGACATGAATTAAACATCTTTTGGTGCAGCAAAGTTGACTTCATTTCCACGCACCAAATATCTAAATGTCCACATTTTTAATAAGACGGTTGATGTTTATACTGTTTGCATAATATTCTTAACTAACGGTATTTGTAAAACGCTTTCATCTGTTCCATTGTTTTGGCACTTGAAGAACTGACATTTCCAAATATTACTTGTATATTTCCATTCTTTGTCGATCTAAATTTCGAGGCCGGTATTATAAGTGAACTCCTGATTAACTGTATTGTTCGTGACATTTTTATAACTGGTAAGGTTAATAAATTGAGATACTTGTGAGGAAATTTTTGTGAATAAGGCATCAAGGATTAACTGCATTAAACACGAAGATTTGTTAGGAATCATAGGATCATAGAACCTATCACTACTTTTAGGATGTGATAAGTATGTATTGCTAAACAGTCGTATAGTCTTCTTGATTTAAAGTAGCTGAATATAAAAACCTTGGACCTGATAAATGTTTCTTTCGAGTTTCAGAGTGTAACCGGCATTAGGAATCGGAATCTGATTTTAGGATTTAGTTGTAGGTGGTATTTTGTTTACCGTGGAGTGCCTTTCTCGTGCAATCTGGATCATCATTAAAGAATAAGGATTTGAGTTGTAGCACACTAAATCACCAGTTGGTTTGTACATTTTTTTTTTTTGTTCTCATCAATCGTTTCTCCCTTACTCGTTTATGTAATTGCGATTGTGTTTGTTTGATATTTCTCTAGTTTTACTTTATTTGTTCATACATATCTCATCCACCTTGTGTTCTCTTCCAGAGAATCTATAGGATGCAGTCTTATCCTAAAATTTCTTACCCCACTGTTACGCTCGCTGTGTATTTGTTTCTGCTTTTGCATAAAAAGTGCTGTACTTGTTAGCGATGGGTCACAAATGTTTTAAGGTCATCAATGTTTGCATCTGCGTGAGCGTTTGTATTTTTTCTGATTTCGAGTACGATAATTGATTGGCTTCAGACTTCTTCACTCTCCATTAGTTCAACATCATTAAAAGATTATTTCGGGGGAGGGGGGTTGATGGGTTTGTTTTGTGTTTCTGTGTTCGCAAATGACTATTTGGTTTTCAGGGAAATGACGCTTCAGTGGTTCGTTGTGGCACTGATTTTATATTTAGAAATAGCGGTTGTACTTTTGTTACTTTTACCTTGGATTCGTCCAACATTGTGAGTCATTTTACAAGGAATTTTTGGTCATTATCGCTTATTTTCTAAAAGATTCAGCGTAAATTAACATTCTTTCCATTTCATTTTTTTTACAGATGGAGTAAATTCTTCAAAAGTCGCCTCGTGAAGACGTTCGAAAAACACGCAAATGTTTACTTCATTTCTACTCTCTGTATCCTTTTGCTTCTCTTTGCAGGTCGGAGTTTTTTTCTTTTCTATTCATTTTCGAATCTTTCTAGCAGGTTAGGTTTTGCATTCTTTTCCAGGGGAAATCAATGCTTTCTTATAAATAATTTGAACAAATAATTTCTGTTACTGACATTATTTTACAAATGAAAAATTATTTTAGATGCTATTCGAGAAGTGCGGAAATATGCAGGTGAAGTCGCAATAGAGGCTTCAATTCGTCATACTGCAGATTCAGAAAATGTTGTCCATATGCGGCTTTTCCGTGCTCAACGAAATCTTTATATTTCTGGATTTGCACTTTTGCTTTTCCTGTTTGTTTATTTTGAAAGTTGTGAAAACATGCATTTCTTTCCTTACAGTTTTTGAAAACGATAGTAGGTACTGGTCTCATCTGCTTTTGAAGGATTGAAGTAGCTTCTTTCTATACAGAAATAATTAATATGGAATTCATACCGTTCCTTTTTGGAGACTTTTTTTTAGAGTTATTAAACGGATAGTTGCACTTCTTTCTCGTGGAGCATTGCTTGAAGCCGCTGCTGAAGCTGCAATGAAGCAAGCTGAAAGTGCATCCAAAACGGCAAAATCTTACATGGTACGAATAATTGCCATACATAGAAACTGGCAATTCTCTTTGCTGGGTAGACTCTGAATATATTGACACTGCCCATTTATTTGATAATCATCAGTTATATTAACTTATCCAGTTACTGAAATTGTCGGATGTCGTGAGGATCCTGTTGCTGGTCTATTTTAAGTCATAAAAACTCACTTTTCTTTTCCTGCTCCCAACACTCATCTTTCAGTCTTTCATTGAGGAAGAAAATAATTTGAATCTGATCAGTTGAGATCATTTATTTTAGTATGGCGATAACGAAAGGGAAAAGGAACTAGAGCGACAAGTTGAAGAGCTCGGCAAAGGTACTGTTTATCTGTTTCGTGCATTCGGGTGAGAAGAATATCCAGCGGTTCGGTGTATTGCTTATTTCGATCCTGGTTGTTAATGCCTAGTGTACATTGGATTTGAACAAATATGAACTTTAGTTAGTGCGGACAATAACGGTTTATCACGCCATTTCCTTTAACTTTTCCATTAATAATATCGATTATTGCATGTTTCGTATTTGAGTTATTTTGTAGAACTGAAATCAGCACAAGTGGATAGAGATACTATGAAGGAGCAAACGGAGGGTCTTCAACGAGAATATGACCGCGTTTGCGGCTTGCTTAAGCAGGCTGAGGTAAGCTTCTCACTTTTTCTAAATAGTAATGACTGGTTCCGTTTTGAAGGGAGAAAAACGGGAACTCCGGAACCGTTTGTCTAATTGAAATATGTAAACATTAAGGATTCTTTATGCTTTTAATCCGGCCTTTGATTTTAATTTCCTTCCTCTTCTGTTGAAGAATTTTTTAAAACAGTTTTTCGTAGCCACAAAAAATTGCGTGAAAAGCGATGCTTGTGAAAGTCATCGAATAGTGAAAATAGTACAAAACAGGCTTCTCGAGATATGTAACGTTTTTCAGAAAGCGAGTGGAGACAAGAAAGAAGATTGATGTTGTGCGTGCATTTATTACCAGCTGCATAGAAATATGATGAAGTATATATTCAATATTTCTTTTCATTTGTATTGTTTTTTTTCGAAATTACCCTTAGGTTATTTTTAAAAATAGTACCATTTAATTCTTGCTGAAATATTTACGAGCGGATAGCAGGGGACTGCCGAGCATTTATGTTTAAAATTAAAACTAAAATGTGTTTAAGATCGGTGGTTCTACCTGCTTAATCCATTCAGTTGTTATCTTTATTGGGCAGATCTTTTCCTCACACTTTCTTTTGAATCTCTCAGTTCATTATTTTTACGGTACTATGTGTTTCCATTTTCTTGAAGCAGACATAGGAGGAAGCCATTTTTTCAGTGACTATTTAGTGGTAGGTCATGTTCCCAACCGTTTTTACTTTTGAGTTTATCGATGAATTCATTGTGATCTGTGAACTTCAGTTATGGTAGTTTATCGATTGTACTTCATATGTCCCGACTGTTGATTTGCAATCTGGGTTACTTAATTCTTTGCTTCCAGTGTCGTGTCTTTTAATTTGCTATATATTTTACGTAAATTCCGGCATTTTACGAATAAACTTTGACATATTCTGTACGCAAGAGTGTGCAGTGAAGCCTGATCAAAGTTGGAAGTTTGTTGACATGTCAGAATCCAAAAGTGTTGTAAGACGTTACCAAACATTCTTCAGTGCAGCTCATCTGCTTTTCACGAGTGATGTTGGTCCACCAAAATTTTACGCGTGCAGGCGTAAAACAAGTACAGCAGCAGCGTAACATATCTTCCAACTTTTCACATGCCGGATGGCCAACAACTTTGACAAGAAAGACGAGTGACCTGTGAACGTTATCCTCATTTATCAAACACCAAATTAGCGCGTGCAGTAAAAGGAATCTACGAAACAATGGTTTTACTTCATATTTTGGAAAATTTTTTAGACATGGGGATGGATTAACTGGGCTTGTTAATGTAGGAAGAACAAAGATGGACTGGAAAAGTTATGAATGAGTTTGTCCATTTCCGTTTATCTCCTTATAACCCAGATGTAGCATTCGGAAGAGGGTTTCGGGAAAAAAGACATCTTTGCTTTTTTTGAAAGAATTGAATGTGGAAATGTGCAGACAAAAATTTAAGATCATCTAAACCATTCCACATCTTAGACATACAGTTGGTGAATAGGGATATTATTTACAACAGTAGTTAGTGACATAGTATAGTTGCCTAGCAAGGACTGCTTCATAAATGCATCACAATGGGTCTGCAAAAGTACTGATAAACTATGGGTAAATGGGGAACAGGTTTAAAGGGGTTGGAGAAAGTAGTGAGGTATCCATAAAGGGTTCCTGGATTAACTATAACTCGATATATCACCTTTACGGTGTGAAGAATATTAGAGAAAACTCATGCATAACATGAACATTCAAAAATATAATCAAATCGTATATGATTTCCTTGAGTGATTATAATATGTACAGGAAAAACGATATCTTCATCATTCATAAATGTTGCTGTACAACAACGAACTACAGTTCCATTCCCTGCGTTTCGTCTGCAAATATATTCGCTAAATAATAGACGTGAGAAGCTTAAGCACTAGAATGACGTAGTCACTCTAACAAATAAGGTTTTACCATTACTGTAACTTTCCAATAAAAAATGGAAATGTCAGTACTGTCAGTTAAAATATACCTTCCGTAAAATCAGAAATGGTGGAGCTCGATTCATCTCCACTCGACGAGCTCTGAGGTTCCTTGTTAACCTCTTCTGTATTGATACAGTTCCTCAGAGCTTCCTCACTAGCATATTTAAGCACATATTCTGTAATTGGAAAAAACATACAAAGTAAAGTCTTTTCCGATCTTTGATTTGTTTTCAAAGGCTACAATCCTTTGCAGTCAGTTTAGCCTGATAAGGTGCATGAAAGTAATTATTTTGCCAAACACCTCATATTTCACATCCCGAGGTATCTTGACATTTATGTCAAGATAACTTGTGACCACGAACCTCGGCACTTTTTCTTGAATTCTTCAGGCTTATGTAGGTACAGTGCAGCAGCATCACCGTTCAACGGATCCGTTGGATTAGGATACGTTAGCAGCTGGGGCAAGAATGATTCGAAAATGTTTGCGAGATCTGCAAGTGTTAAAATAACATTCATGCCTTCAGTACTTACACATTCAAAAAAAAACCATGTTTGTCTTTTCCTAGATGTAACTAAGCGGAGTGTTTTTTGCACTACTTGAACTATTGTTATTTTACTTTATAATAATAGCAATAATAATAATAATAATAATTACCGTATAGAGCAGTCCAAGCTTGGTTAATTACATCAAGGCAAACAGTGCCGGATGCTTCATCAATATTCGGATGATAAATGCGGTTCATGAAACCAATGGATGGTGATTTGAAGGGATACTTTTCGGGCAGATCAACGCGAACACGCCATACCCCTCCTTCATAAGCAGCTACAAAAGATAAAATTTAAGGCAAAAACTCAATTTTTCACAAATTTATGCCAATAATGGTACTTGCTGCCTACTGAGCTGAAAAAAAAACTGACGGTTCTGTGAAAGGATAAGACGGTCGGCATAGTAAGCCTTCCGTCATACACCACAATGAGATATCCTGCTTTGAATGCTTGGTAAGCTCTGTCGTACTCTGATACGTGTGAAAGACTTGATAACTCAAACAAAACAGTCTAAAACATCCTACAATACACTTCAGTAAAGTTAAGAACAAAGACTAAAGTTAAGAACAAAGACTTACTCCCCTTCGGACCATGAAACTTCACAGCAAATTCATTAATCCCACCTGTGATCGTCACTTCATGTTTACTTTCGATCCTGAAATGATGTAATGCGGAATGCGCTCCTTGGGAATCAATACAATGGATGATAACATTCAAGGTCAATATCTCCGAACCTGTTTTTTGGAAAAATATAAACCATGTTCTTAAGCTTACTCTGAATTTCTCATATTTAAGCTAAGAAAGGTAAATGTCACGACAAACTTCAGGAAAGAAGCAATGCAAAAAAGATTGTTAAGAAAATGTTGGAAAAGACGAACAATGGTCCTCATACCTTCCATATTTAATTACAATTTCAATTTTTTTTAATGATAAGACGAAATATAATAAAAAAAGGAATGGGAAAAGTCCTGTTCCTTTTAATATCTAGTGTGTTACATGTTATTACTAGAGAATATTTCTTGGGAAAGGATCAGTGACCAATTTCTTGTTTCGATATCTATCTGATAGCGGGAGAATCCCTATTCATCCCTTATAAACAATGTATTTTCTTCGCAGTCATGCAATCATCTGACACCTTCGTAATCTCCTCTCTACCCAGCCTTTTACACGACTTTATGACCTACTGCCCAATCGTTTGGTTGACTGTCAACATGACTACATTTAAGTTACCAAAATACAATTTTCTCATAAGAAAAAGCGAAGAAAAATATGGAAAAGTATATAAAAGAAACTCACAACTTTATCACATCTGTATCCATTCGTCGTTTACCAGCACTTGGAGATGACATTTTCGATTTATTACGTCCAAATAAAGATACAACCACTACACAATCCTATTCAAAAATGATTCGATGACAATTTATGACTTACAGCCCAATCGTTTCGCTGATTATCAAACCGCAAATGCAACGGCACCGCTCAGAAATAGAAGAAAACGTAACAGTGAGAATAAGAGGTTGAAACAATGTTAAATTGGAAATTAGCTAACTAATGGCAAATTTCGATTTGCATAAATGATAGAACAGCCAGAAAGTATGTCATATTTTGCACAACATTTTCTTCTCTAATCATCAAGAAAAAAAAAACAAAAAACAAATCAATAAAAGAAACCAATCACACACTGATAATAAATAATAAAGGAAAACAGACGTTCTAGAAAGTTCCAGTTTCTAGAAATTTCGAAACATTTAGGGACTGCATCTATGCATATAAATTTGTTGGAAATGAAAAAAAAATGAACTTTTTGCCATGTATATACAATAAGAACGGAAAATTGAAAATATCCAAAATTCTTTTTTCACTTTCCCTCTTCAAAAACTTGATAACAATATTGATTCATATTGTATAGGAAAATGTTATTGAAATGAGAAGGGATGAAAAAGGGACGCGATTGATTAGTGCTGAAAATGAAATTTCAGTAAACTTAGTACCACGTGAGCATCACGTGTCATTCGTTTAACAGTGAACTCGTGAAAGGATGACGAAAGGCATGAATGAATTAGAATTCTCAAATAACGTTTGAAGTGACCAAAAGAGTGAAACCGCAAAGTAAGTTTGTGTTTTTGCGCGAAAAACAGAAGCCAAAACTAGGCCATCCAAGTTGGTATCACATGTTTGGCCAAGTATGCTAGTGTCCATTCATCATCCATTCATCCATTCATTCACTGGATCGATGATATTAACATAGATGCTCTCATTTTTACGGCCTGTTTGCAGTGGTGCAATTAGAAGAATGTCATATTGGTATCCATTCGGGAATCAGGACTTGCTCAATCCGGAATGATTCCAGGTAGTATCCTGCTTAGTTCATTACGCCCCCTAATACAGTGCTGGAAAGACTCGTACGTTTGCAAAAATAATTGCTGTCAATGCGTGGAACGTCGAAATCAATGAATATTGGAGGATGTGTGTATAGATCTGTCTGTCTGTGTATATATATATATATGTGTGTGTCTGCCTGTGCCTATCTGATGTGTGGTATGTGTGTGTGTGTGTGTGTGTGTGTGTGGTGTGTGTGTGTGTGTGTGTGTGTGTGTGTGTGTGTGTGTGTGTGTGTGTGTGTGTGTGTGTGTGTGTGTGTGTGTGTGTGT